CAGTGGGTCTGGCCTAGCTCCCAAGAAACTGCTGTGGGTGGGGCATCTTTCCTTAGAAGGCTCAGTTGGCGTGGCCTCCCAGTTCCCAAGAAACTGCTGTGGGCAGGGCGCCTTTCTTTAGAAGGCTCAGTGGGTGTGTCCCAACCCCTAAGAAATGGCTGTGGTTGGGGCATATTTTCTTATAACACTTAGTGGATGTGGCCTAGGTACTAAGAAACTGCAATTCAGAGGACGGTCCCTGAGACCTGCCTTCCAGGGTTGGTCCAGGGCCTTTGCCCTCCCTAGTACTGAGCCACAGTCCCTTCCACCCTGCAGAAGGATCCCGCGAATGTGGATTACGAGGACCTCTTCCTCTACTCCAACGCAGTGGCCGAGGAAGCTGCCTGCCGGGTGTCTGCACCTGAGGAGGTATGTATATGACAGGAGGCTGGCACCTCCCACCTGGTGGAGGGGCAGGAGCAGAGGTGGCCAACAGCTGCCAGAGGAGGCTCCTTCCCGAAGGAGAATTAGATCCTACAGCTTGGTGCTTTAAACCTTTCCAGTGATTTCCCAACACTGAGATTAAAATTCAAACTGCAGGCTGGGCACGGTGGCTCACGCCTGTAATCCCAGCACTTTGGGCGGCTGAGGCGGGTGAATCGCGAGGTCAGGAGTTCAAGACCAGCCTGGCCAACATGGTGAAACCCCATCTCTACTAAAAATGCAAAAATTAGCCAGGCATGGGGGCGAATGTCTATGATCCCAGCTACTCGGGAAGCTGAGGCAGGAGAATCTCTTGAACCTGGGAGGCGGAAGTTGCAGTGAGCTGACATCATGCCACTGCACTCTAGCCTGGGCAACACAAGACTCTGTCTCAAAAAAAAAAAAAAAAATTAAACTGCAATCTCAGTTCCTCTTTCTGCCCATCACCTACCCAGCGCTGGCCCTGCTGCCATACCATCTGTTGTCAGACACAGCAAGCTAGCTCAGGGTCTCTGCACGTGCCGGTCTCACCTCAGGTCCTTTGCACAAACCCTGTGCCCTCCCCCTAGATTTCCCATGTCTTCATTCAGTTCTTCAAGTGCCTCCTTCTTCAGGCTCCAGACCTAAAGCAACGCCTTCTACATTCTCCTTCATGTTATCCTGTTTATTCACTGCAGCGACTTCCTAAAAATGTTCCCCCAAATCCTGTCTATTTATGGGCTTACATGCTCCCTGGCTGCCTCCCCCATCAGACTGTGAGCTCTGAGAGACTGGAGAATCCATCTGGCTTGTTTGCCTCTGCTTCTCCCACCCCTCTGAGAGGACCTGCCATATTGAAAGTACTTAAGTAAGGACTCTGTGAAGTAGATGAATGAATGTATCACAGCATCTTGGGGCTTGGGAGACCTTTAGGGACCCCTGGGTTGAAGCCTAAGTGTTCTCCAAGCCCCTTGCCCAGCAGGGGAAGTTGTGACAGTGGTACAAATGAAACAGGCTGGTATGATGGACATCAGTGGAGGGGCGGAGTGCAAGTGGGGGAAGGCAGTCAGGGAAGGCTTCCTAGAGGAGGTGGCATACAGCTGAGATGTACAGGTGAGCAGGAGCCAGTCATATACACAGACACAGGGAGGACATTCCAGGCAGAGGGAATGGTGCTTGCAAAAGTCCTGGGGCTTGGTTGTTTGGAAAACAGAACAATAAAAGCCAGCATATAGATGGAGTGGGGTTAGTGAGAGAGAGACAGAAAGAGAAAGAAAGATTGTCAGAAGCTGAAGCCCCAGGCTCAGCAGGGGCCAATTTGGGATTCTATTCCAGTTGCACCAGGGAGCCATAGGAAGGTGTATTCATGGCAGAACTGGTGTTTTGTTTGTTTGTTTGTTTGTTTTGAGATGGAGTGTTGCTTTGTCACTCAGGCTGGAGTGCAATGGCATAGTCTAGGCTCACTGCAACCTCCGCTTCCCAGGTTCAAGCGCTTCCCAGGTTCAAGCAATTCTCGTGCCTCAGCCTCCTGAGTATCTGGGATTATAGGCATCTGCCACCACACCCAGCTAATTTTTGTATTTTTAGTAGAGCTGGGGTTTCACCATGTTGGCCAGGCTGGTCTCAAACCCCTGACCTCATTCATGATCCGCCCATCTCAGCCTCCCAAAGTGCTGGGATTACAGGCATGAGCCACCACACCCGGCCTGGGCTGGTGGTTTTAAATGTTGCCTGTGGCTACTTGGTGCAGAAGGGGCTTTCGGGGGCACTGGTGGAGATGGAAAGAAGGAGGAAGTGGGGTCGAGGTGGGGAACGGTGTCAAGGTGGGAGGGACAAGAATGAGAGCCCAGGGGTGGTGGAAAGAGACGTGGATATTTGGTCTGCACAGTGGCTCATACCTGTAATCCGAGCGCTTTGGGAGGCTGAGCCAGGAGGACTGCTTGAGGCCAGGAGTTTGAGACCAGCCTGGGCAACATAGCAAAACCCTGCCTCCACAAAAAGTTAAAAAATTAGCCAGGCATGGTGGCACACATCTGTAGTCAGCTACTCTGGGGGCCGAGGTGGGAGGACCAGGAGGTGGAGGCTGCAGGGAGCCATGACTGCACCACTGCACTCCAGCCTGGATGACAAAGCAAGACCCTGTCAAAAAGAAACATTTGTAGAGATGGAGTCTCACTACATTGCCCAGGTTGGTCTCAAACTCCTGGCCCCAAACAATCCTCCTGCCTCAGCCTCCCAAAGCACTGGGATTATAGGCGTGAGCTATCACGCCTGACCCCACATTTTTGTAAAGATAGTATTTTGTAACCTGTGAATATCAGATGAAATTCAAAGGTCCATATTTATAAATAAAGCTATATTAGAACCCAGGCACACTCACTGGTTGACATGTAACCTCTGGCATCCCCCTGCAACAGCAGAGCTAAGTCATTGAGGCAGATGGTACAGCCTGCAAAGCTGAAATATCTGCTCTCTGACCCTTTGTAAAAGAAGTTTGCCAGGCCAGGTGCAGTGGCTCATGCCTGTAATCCCAGCACTCTGGGAAGCCGTGGTGGGTGGATCGCCTGCAGTCAGGAGTTCGAGACCTGCCTGGCCAACATGGTGAAACCCTGTCTCTACTAAAAATACAAAATTAGCCAGACATGGTGGCACATGCCTGTAATCCCAGCTACTCGGGAGGCTGAGGCAGGAGAATCGCTTGAACCCGGGAGGTGGAGGTTGCGATGAGCCCAGATCGTGCCATTGCACTCCAGCCTGGGCAACAAGAGCCAAACTCCATCTAAAAAAAAAAAAAGAAGTTTGCCAACCCCTGAGGGAAACAGTGAGACAATGAAGCCATTTACCGAGATGAGAAGGATGGGGAATGGGATCAGATTTGGGGGTTCACATGGGCACGTTTCTCAGCCCCGGGGCATCTGCGTGGAACCCTGGCTCCAGTGTCTGGGGCAGATGTGGTGCTTTGGTGGGCGAACTGCCCCAGGCCTCATGGGCTCTCATTTTCAGCCCTCCCCAAAGCCAGTCCTGCTTCACCAATCAAAGGAAAGGAAGCTGTCAGCAGAGATGAACAGAATAACCACTGAGGAAGCCACTTCCTCCTGCCCCTCAAAAGCCCCTCTGGGAGAGGCCCGTCAGAAACTCTGGAGGAACCTCAAAATGCTCCCCGAGAGAGGCCAGAGGGTCCGGCAGCAGCTGAAAACCCACCTCGCCACTGTGAACTTGTCGTCACTCTTGGATGTCCGGAGATCCACGGTGACCTCAGGCCCTGGGACCAGAAAAGGCAGCCAAGAACCGTCAGGGGACACCACCTTAAGGGACAGAGTCTACCCGGACCCCTTTGTTGCCACGTCCCTTGAAAACCCCTCAGAGCCTCAGGCGCCAAAAGACAGAAAGATCCCCACCAGGAAGGCCGAGAGGTCGGCCAGCTGCAATGAGGTGACTTCAGGGAGCAGGAGCTGGCACCAAACGGTAGTGAGAGCTGTATCCTCCCAGGACTCCAAGCCGGAGTGCCAGGGCTTGGCAGAGCCTGAGAATGACCAGCTCCCAGAGGAGTACCGACAACCGCCACCCTTTGCCCCTGGGTACTGCTAGAGAATGGGTCCACCCCGGCTCTGGGACTCTTGGTGCCAGGGGTTGCCACACTCCTGGATGTCCTAACAGTTCTTCCATGGCCCCAGACCACGGCATTCGGGAATCTTGGGGAACCCGGGAAATGGAATAAAGACGTTTTGGGAGTCTGTTCCTACAGTCACCCGTGGGGTGAGCTGGTTATTTTAGCAATAATCATCAGAGTAATCCTGATGGTTTGGGGTACCTCCTGTCCATTAGCCCCTGCACCGGACCCACTGTATCCATTATTTGATATCCCAGAGCAAGCCCCTTAGGTAGCGTTATCCTCCACGTTTTGAAGAAGAGACTGAGGTTCAGAGAGGAGGAGAGGCGTGAGCAAGGCTACAGAGCTATGGGTGTCAGCACCAGGAATTGAAGCCAGGTGAATCACCGAGCCGTCTTCCCACGTCATCTGTTTGTTCTGTTGTCTAAAAGCACACTGCATGCTGGGCGAGGCGGCACATGCCTGTAATCCCAGCACTTTGGGGGGTCGAGGTAGATGGATCACTTGAGGCCAGGAGTTCGAGACCAACCTGACCAATATGGTGAAATCCCGTCTCTACTAAAAATAAAAAATTAGCCCGGTGTGGTGGCGGGCACCTGTAATCCCAGCTACTCGGGAGGCTGAGGCAGGAGAATCGCTTGAACCTGGGAGGCTGAGGTTGCAGTGAGCCCAGATCATGCCACTGCACTCCAGCCTGGGCGACAGAGCAAGTCTCTGGAAAAAAAAAAAAAAAAGGCAGGGGATGGAGGAGGCATCACAGGGCTGTGTCTGGTGGAGGGTTCTGGAGAGAGTCCTTGGTTGTGGGGCTGTGTGACCTTTGGCAAGTCTAGACGTCTCTGGATGGACTTTTTTTTTTTTCTTTTTTTCTTTGTTTTTGAGATGAAGTCTCACTCTTTCGCCCAGGCTGGCGTGCAGTGTCACAATCTCAACTCATTGCAACCTCCATCTCCCCATTCAATTGATCCTCCTGCCTCTGCCTCACAAGTAGCTGGGATTACAGGTGTGCACCACCACGCCCGGCTAATTTTTGTATTTTCAGTAAAGGCTGGGTTTCACCATGTTGGCCAGGCTAGTCTCGAACTTCTGACCTCGGGTAATCCACCCACCTTGGCCTCCAAAAGTGCTGGGATTATAGGCATGAGCCACTGCGCCTGGCCTATGTATTTATTTATTTATTTAGAGACAGAGTCTTGCTCTACTGCCCAGGCTGGAGTGCAGTGGCACGATCTCCAATCACTACCACCTCCCTCTCCTGGGCTCAAGCAATCCTCCCTCCTGAGCATCCCAAGTAGCTGGGACTATAGGCATGCACTACAGCACCCAGCTCATTTTTGTATTTTTGGTAGAGATGGGGTTTCGCCATGTTGCCCAGCCTGGTCTTGAATTCCCGGGCTCAGGTGATCTGCCCGCCTCGGCCTCCCACAGTGCTGGGATTGCAGGCTTGAGCCACCACACCCTGCCCAGTAGCTGCTTAATTAATTAGGGGTTTAGGATGGGAACAAGGACTCTAAATGTGACATACCGTACAGTGGAGGTGTCTGGGAAGGTCCCTAGGGGCTGGTCTTGGTTGCAGGAGTGAGCCTTCCTTGGACCGACTGGGGCATAGATGGGAGCCCTCAGACAACCCCAGGTGGAGGGGGCGTGGGGTTCCCCAAATGTACAAGGTGGGATCCGGTATGAGGGGCACCTGGCTTCAAGCCCACCCCTGCAAATGACTTGTGGTGTGGACTTAGGCAAGTCTGTCTCCTCCCTCCAAATGAGGGCATGATCCTCAGCCAACCCTGCAGGGTTGTTATTGGGGGTCAGTGTCACGGCAGGGGGCAGACACATCATAAACTGTAAAGTGCAGTGCCCACCTCAGTGAATGACATTCCCACCCCTCCCCATCAGAGGCCTCCTCTTGGCAGCTCTAGTGAATCAGCCAGGAGTAAGTTTCAGTCCCTTTGATGACTCGGATTGAGGCATAAGAAGCAGCTTGAGCCGGGTGCGGTGGCTCACACCTGTAATCCCAGCCCCTTGGGAGGCTGAGGCGAGCAGCTCACCTGAGGTTGGGAGTTTGAGACCAGCCTGGCCAACATGTCGAAACCCCATCTCTACTAAAAATACGAAAGTTAGGCAGGCCTGGTGGTAGGTGCCTGTAATCCCAGCTACTGGGGAGACTGAGGCAGGAGAATCGCTTGAACCTGGGAGGTAGAGGTTCAAGTGAGCTGAGATCACGACACTGCACTCCAGCCTGGGTGACAGAGTGAGACTCTCTCTCAAAAAAAAAAAAAAAACAAAATAAGCAACTTGAGCAGTCAAGGCTGAGGTTTGGCCTTCGGAGTGGGAGCCCTAGGGTAGGACAGCATGGGCCCAACCTCCCCACCTCATCTCCGCCACGGACACCCACAACCAACAAGGCATTTCCAGCCTTCACAGTGAAGACGATCTAGGAGTCACTCCTTCCTTGTACAAACGGAGATCATGGTCCAGAGAGGGTGTGGTCACAGCCAGGGTCACACAGCAAAGTCAAAGATAAGATTCTAGGCTGCCTCCCGCCCATCTTCCAGTTTCAAGGTGGGAAAATGCATCCTCCAAGCAGGCACGACTTGGTGATTTGTGTTTATTCCCAGAAACCAGAGTCCACAGCGGGTGAGGGGTCACCTGCCCTCCTGTAGCTGGCTCCTCTGTGGCACCATCAGATTCGGATGTGGAAGGTGCTGTGCACGGAGAGAAAAGGACTCAGTGCCTTCGCGGAGTGGACAGTCCCTCTTCCTCCTCCCCATCAACATGCTCAGGGGAAATCCCTGGGACAGGCAGGAAGGATGCCATGTGGCCCCCTCAAACACCCCTAGGCAGGGGGATCCCCAGAGGGGTTGAGAGCACATGCCTTTGATTTTTTTATTTTATTTTACTTTTTTTGAGGTGGAGTCTCGCTCTGTCACCCAGGCTAGAGTGCAGTGGTGTGATTTCAGCTCACTGCAACCTCCGCCTCCTGGGTTCAAGCAATTCTCATGCCTCAGCCTCCAGAGTAGCTGGGAGTACAGGCACCCACCGTCACACCCAGTTAAAATTTATATTTTCAGTAGAGACGGGGTTTTACCATGTTGGCGAGGCTGGCCTTGAATTCCTGACCTCAGGTGATCCACCCACCTCAGCCTCCCAAAGTGCCGGAATTACAGGCATGAGCCACCATGCCCGGCCAAGTTTTTTTTTAATTTTTAAAATGTATTTATTTATTTTTGAGACAGGGTCTCACTCTGTAACCCAGGCTGGAGTGCATGTCACAATCAGAGCTCACTGCGCCCTTGACCTCCTGGGCTCAAGCAGTCCTCCACCTCAGCCTCCCAAGAAGCTGGAACTACAGGCGTACACCACCATGCCTGGCTGTTTTTTTATTTTTATTATTGGTAGATATGGGCTTTCCTTACGTTGCCCAGGTTTGTCTCAAGCACCTGAGTTCAAGAGGTCCTCCCTGCTTAGCCTCCCAAAGTGCTGGGATTAAAGGCATGAACCACCACACCTGGTTGGAATATTATTATTCTTTGATTTTTTTCCAACCTTTTGCAAATATAAAAGCCATTCTTAGCTCACAGGAGGTACAAGAGCAGGCTTTGGGGCAGATTAGCCTATTGACCACACTTTGCCCTGCTGTGGGGGTTGATTTTCCCCCAAGGCTGCCAAGTACAGTTGCACAGTCTTTTCACTGCAAATTGTTCAGGCAGTAAGGGCTGAAGTCCAGCCACATTCTACTTGCCGAAAGAGGTGCACCCAGGCCGCGCACAGTGGCCCACGCCTGTATTCCCAGCACTTTGGGAGGCTGAGGCGGCTGGATCATCTGAGGTCAGGAGTTTGAGACCAGCCTGGCCAATATGGTGAAACCCCATCTCTACTGAAAATACAAAAATTAGCTGAGCATGGTGGCATGTGCCTGTAATCCCAGCTACTCGGGAGACTGAGGCAGAGAATTGCTTGAACCCGGGAGGTGGAGGTTGCAGTGAGCTGAGATTGCACTCCAGCCTGGTGACAAGAGTGAGACACCATTTAAAAAAAAAAGGTGCATCCACCTGCAACAGGTGCCTGGGCGTCCCAAATTCTCCCCATTTTACGGATGCAGGGACTGAGACCAGGGAAATTGAGAAAGTTCCCGAGTCGCAAAAGAATGAATAGAGGAATCTTCAGAAACAGTCTGTGAACTGTCTCCGTCAGAGCCCCGTCACACGTGCACATGGATTGTGGGCGTGGCGAAGAGCATCACCTGAGGAAGTCTGGTGCCCGGAGGATCATGTTCTGGAAGTCTTCCAGGGACAGCCGCCCATCATGGTCCCCATCAGCCTCATCCAGCACCTTCTCGCACACCAGGCTCACCTCCTCAGCGCTCAGCTCCCCCCGAGTCAGTTTGGTCACGGTCTGCTCCAGGTCCCATGCACAAATGTAGTCGTCATTGTTAAAATCTGCAAAGCAAGACAGACAGGGAGTGACAGCAGGTGGCAGGCAGGCTGGGTCAGCTATGGGCACATACTGTGCCCATGTTACAGAAGGGAAAACCAAGGTTGGGTGGGTGACTCACGCCTGTAATCCCAGCACTTTGGGAGGCTGAGGCAGGTGGATCACCTGAGGTCAGGAGTTTGAGACCAGCCTGGCCAACATAGTGAAACCCCATCTCTACTAAAAATACAAAAATTAGCTGGGCGTGGTGGCAGGTGCCTGTAATCCCAGCTACTTGGGAGACTGAAGCAGGAGAATTGCTTGAACCCGGGAGGCGGAGGTTGCGGTGAGCTGAGATCGTGTCACTGCACTCCAGCCTGGGTGACAGAGCAAGACATCTCAAATAGACAAAAACACAAGGTGCCAGGCACTAAGATAACTGCTTTTCTTTCATTCAGTAATTCAACAAATATTTACCGAGCCAGGCATATAAGACAGATAGTGAGCAAAACAGATACTGTCAGTACCTTTGGGGTCAATAAGAAGTGAACAGGTCAGTGAACAAGAAATTAAGCAGCATTGCCTGGTGCTAGAAGAGAAACAGGATGGTGGGATTGGTGGGGTGAATGGGGGGAGGCCTACTTTCGACCTAGACTTCAAAGATAAGGAGGAGCCGGGGAGGTGGGGGCAGTGGCTCACGCCGTAATCCCAGCACTTTGAGAGGCTGAGGCGGGTGGATCATGAGGTCAGAAGTTCAAGACCAGCCTAGGCAAGATGGTGAAATCCCGTCTCTAGTAAAAATACAAAAATTAGCCAGGCACGGTGGCAGGCGCCTGTAATCCCAGCTACTCAGGAGGCTGAGGCAGGAGAAT